CAAGTATATTTGTACCATGATAAAATAGTAGATTCCACCAAACTAAATTATTGAAGAGAATAGAACACCATGGTTTTGGTCATTTGTGGTTCAAATCTTCCATGGTGCTATTAAAGAAACTTTGACTGTGGAGAAAAGGAGAAATTAAAGAGACTTTGACAACATTGGCCGTGGCTTCTTTTGCATACCAAATTTTCAAGATCCCTAGCCTAAGCCAAAAAATCAGATAAAAAACTAAAGGATAGCCACAGCTTCATGGTTAGCCATGGGGTTGGGGCAGCTCTACAGAGTAAAACTTGTCCTAGTCAGCATCCAGTGACATCATTAATTTCATATAAAAAAAAGTTATGATTTTTAAATACAGTAAAAATAATAAAGAAAAATATTTGCACCATAATAATTTTAGAAAGTAAATTGAAGATATTATTGCTATCTGTTTACGATTGACTTGGTTGACAACCCTATAATATTGGCCGGGCCGGGCCTAAGAAAAATTGATTTTAAATTGATTTGTTGATTCAATGGGTCAACATGTAATTTAATCGATTTAATTAAAATTATTAATTTTTTAATATTTTTTAATTTAATCGATTTAATTAAAATTATTAAAAAATTAATAATTTTAATTATCTTAAAACTAGGTTGTTTTAACTTTTTAAATACTTCTTCAGAATTAACTAACTCAATTAAGCTTTGCGCCAAGTCAATCATGGACTCTTATAGTCTTATTTAAAATATAAATGTAATTATTTTTTAAAGTATTTTTATTTTAAAATATATTAAAATAAAATATTTTTATTTTTAAAAAATTATTTTTCATATCAACATATTAAAATATTTAAAAAAAATTTAAAAAATCAATTTAAATTAAAAAAATAAAAAAATATTTTTTTTTACAAAAGGTAAAAATAAAGAGTACTCATTAATGCCCATTTAAATAGTAAAACTAATAATAACAAATGGGAATGAATACGATGTGGGCCCCAATATTCAATTTTATATAATGAAGGTGGGCCCATATGAAGAAAAAGAGTGCACTAAGCCACTCGTTTCTTCAACCGCGTTAAATGCAATCTCTAAAAAATTGCATGAGAAAGTATAAATTATCCTAGTCAAGGAGCACTAGCAAGGATTACATTCCAATCTGAGTTCTCAATTTCGGCTTTTATCTGGTTGCTTCTAGATACCTCACCCTGAAAAAAAAAAATTATATAGAAAAGTTTTTTTAAATATTTTTATAGTTAAAAAATTTATAAATAAAAATAAAAAATTTATACATCTATATAATCAAATAAATCAAGAACTTTATGTTTTAATAGATAAAAATAAAACTATACATGATAACTAAAATTGAAATTAAAAAATTTGAGAGATAGGTATAGATTAAAATATTTAATATCACAATATAAAATATTTATTTAATTATATTTATTCAATTTGTTTATTAAAATAATTTATTTATTTAATCAAATGATAATATAAATAGATATATATATATAAATAATCTTTTTTCGTGGTAAAGGTTTAGAAATGAGAAGAATAAAATTTTGGATCAAAATTAATTTTTTCTCTTAAAATTTGGAAATTAAAAGGGAATTAATATCTATAATCTATAAAATATAAGGATTACAATAAACATATTGCACAAACTTTTAAAGTTACTTATTCTCTTTATGTGTTTTTTTTCTTGGTCCCTCATTTTTCATTCTCACTCTCTCCTGACAAATTAAATTATAATTTGGTCAAATAAAAACTAAATTAAAAAAATAATTAAAAAAACATTGTAAATAATCCATCCATAATTCTATATGAGGGGACTCACACTGTATTTTACATAATAAATCTTCCACGCATTTTAGTTAACTTACTTTTAAAATATATAATATATTCACACTGAACATTTACATTAATCTTAAAAGTTGCTTATCATGTGTTTTAAAATACTTGAAAAGTATGTTTGATATGAAAAATTATCTAATTAACTTGTTTTAATGGTGTAAACATACCACTATTGAAAATAAAAAAATATTTTTGATATTTTTTAAATAAAAATTATTTCCAAAAAAATACTTTACATTACAATATCAAAACAAGCTATATACAAAACAAGCTATATATAAAAGTAAAAGGAAAAAAAAAATTTATTCAATTACGAGGAGTATCTAGAGCAAGTTTGCGTTTTGATCGAAACTAGTTTTTTTGTTTTTTGGTTTTCTCAAACTATTAGAGTGCATCGTTTACACTGGTTTCATATTTCTTTATATTTTGAACGTTATTAGAAGCATCATCGACGAATGTGAATTCATATGTCTAAGTTTAAATGATCGTTTTTAGACTAACATGTAACATTATATCTTTTAATTCCCATCACCCATTTTCATCCACTCAGAGCTCTTGAATCTTGATCCCCTATGACTATTAGACTTAGCTATTGTTATCTCATTGTTTCTGTTTATTTTCATACTTAATATTTTAAAGGTGTACTTTTGATGCCGATTTATAATTTAAAATATTTTGAAATGATGGCATTATAAAAATATACTATATACTAAAAAGAAAAAAATATAAAACTCGGTCTGATGCATTATATGATTCTGCCACTTGAATACATGTTTATTTATTAAATATTTAAGTTTGATCAAATCAACTATTTAAATAATTTAAAATTAAACCCAGCCCGAGTTACAACATGAATTATTAAATCATATGATGAATTCACTGGGTCAGATAATATTTAATTTAATAATTATAATAATCGGCTATTAGAATTTTGGAGAAGCCATGCGTCACTCCCGTCTCTCTCAGAACCCCTCCATCATCAATAAAGCAAAGTCAACAAGTCCTTTCAACTACAGAATTGCTCTCTGGATTAAAAGGTAATTATGTTTAAATCCTAGCATTAATCATCCATTTGTAATGCAAAAAAGAAAGATTATCATGTTAATGAAGAGTAGTGTCACGCACTCCAATTGGTGTTGTAGAAGAACTTTTGGACACAATTTTTTTTCCCGTAGCTAGTGAATGTTTAATAGTTTTGTTTTTAGATATTTTTTAAGGTTATGTTTATTTTAAAAATATACATAATTATTTTTTATATTAATTAGTAATTTTGATTTTTTATATTAAAAAATATAATAAATAATTTTGATGATTTTTTAAAATAAAAAAACTTTTAAAAAATATTCTACATCACAATAACAAACATGCAAACCCTATTCAACATCCTAGTATAAGATGATTGGGTATATTTTTAGAGTAATTGAAATTTTAAAAATTATTTTATCTCTATTATTTAAACTTTTTTTTATTTTAAATCATGATAAAAAAATTTAATTAAAAACAAACTATAATTTATATTTTTTTCAAATTATAATCATTGCAACATTAAATACAAATAACTGGTGGATTGAATAATTGTCTTAAACAATAAAAAATCAAGAAATCTAGACGATCACACCACTTTACATGAGTGTTGATATTAAAAATAATTCTTTTAAAATAAAAAAAATATTATTAACATATTTTTTTGAGTAAAAAATATTTTAAAAAACAACCGTAACTATATTTTTAAACACTCATGGAAAAGCCAAAACACCACCCATTTCTATAAATAGAGAAAGTAAAACTATATTCCAACCCTTCTTAGATTTTATAGATTTTTTATTTAGTCTTTACATTATCACCATACGAGCATAAAAAATATTATGTGATGGTCATTTGTTGTTGTTAGCAAATGGTAGCTATCTCGTTGTTGATTTTTTTTTTTTTTTTAATAATGTTTAGGTTGTCGAAGATTTAATATTATCTCATGTATGAGATTTTGAGAGGAGAATGTTATAAAATGTAAAGGAAAAGATTGAAAAAAAAAGAAGAAAAAAGCATCCCGCGATTAGCTATTTGGAACCCGTAAGAGATTATTTGGCATCATTTATGGAATATAATTTTTCATTTCTATTGTCAGAAATCATAAACAAGATACATTTTTTTTTGGTTTATATACGAATGAGAATTAGCAATTTATTTTTTAAACCTAAAAAAATAGATTTATCCTTAATTGTTTTGTTATTATATTAGTAGTTAACAATAAACTTCAAATGAGGGATGACTTTGGCCATCTTGGTAGCGATAATGAATTTAAGAGCTATAGATTCAGGCTGAAAAGGTGAGATTAGAAATTAGATAGATATAGGTGATTTAAAATGGAATGAATATCCTAGAATTAGATAAAATTAAATAATATAAAAATTCATAAATTGATAAATAATATAAAGTTGGGCTCAACAAATGCATGAGCTTATTGTTTTAGAATGTGATTGTGATTGTAATTATTTTTTAAAATACTTTTAATACTGAAATATATCAAAATAATATTTTTTACTTTTAGAAATTATTTTTGAAATCAATCTATCAAAACATATAAAAAATTTAATTTTTCATAAAAAAAATTAAATTTTTTAAAAATATAAGTTAGCTTGCCCGGGCTCAAAATATTTTAAATATGGCCAACAACCTTGTTGGTTGAATTAATTGACATAATACCAGGACAACATTGATGATGCTTAAGATTTATTAAAATTAATTAAGTTGGAGGATAAGTTGAGATTATCACATCTAAAAATTGATGTGGATAATAAAATGATAATTGGGGAAGGATGATATATATTATAAGCACACGGCTAATAAACTTGATTTAATTGATTTACTTGTGAGTTTAGTTGATGCTAGTTTTAAAAACGAGAATTTAAGTGTTAAAATTAAATAAAATTTCTTAATTTCATTGTTTAAAAAATCAATTAAAATAAATACGATTTTAAAGAAATAAAAATAAAACAAAAACAATATCAAAACAAAAACCTTTCCAAAAACCATGGAGTTGACACTGAAAAGGTAACTCGTGAGTACTGAATTGAAACATTTCAAGACTACAGGAACTAAACATTACTTTACCACCCATTAATAGAAGTATAAAACTTGGAAAACAAAAGGAAGAGAGAGAGAAAGAGATAAAAACTTCACCTCCCTTCCTCCCTCTCAGACGCACAATCCAACAAAAAGCCCTCAATTTGTGAATCAATCTAAAACAATTCCAATCTCTCCTTTTCTTGGATTTCAAAAAATCAAAAAGTAGTCTCTAGTTCAGTATCATCTGACAAATACCAAATTTTATTATTATTATCACCTCAAAATCAAATAAAAAGATTTAAGAAAAGACAATATGAAAGAAGCAATTAGAGAGAGAAACACAACAATAGTATCACTTGTTCAATCATTAAATCAAACCTTAAAACAATCTTCTCACCATTATTTTTTGTTACTACTTTATCATCATTTTCAACAACACAAAAAACAACGATCTTTATTATTAATCTTTATTATTAATTGTTCTTTTATTCTCTCATCAAATCTAAATCTTACCCTCACATCAAAATCACAACACTCACCACAAACACAAACATCATCACCACCATTGATTCTTCTCCTGGAGAGAGAGACTTTACCTAAAAATTCTTCTCTTAGAGAGAGAAAGCTTGAAGCTTTATCCATGAATCAATCTGTCAAGTTTTATTTTTTGGGATTTCGTTAAGTTTAAATGGTGGGTCTGGATCTATTCATTGATTTCTGAAGTGGGTTTGTTTTAAAAGTTGGTATTTCTGTTAAAGTTGGAAGCTTTTTGGTGATCTTGACTAATGGAGGAAGCTGCTGGTGGTGGTGGTGTGGAGGTGGAAGCGAAGAAGAAGACAACAGGAGAAGGAGAAAGTAAGTCTAAGAGGAAAATGAAATCTGCTTCCCAGCTTGAGATTTTGGAGAAAACTTATTCAGGTTTGTTTGTTTCAAGTTCTGAGCTTTTGCATTTTTTTTGTTCATGGTTTTGTTGTAAATTTGTGATTTTAACTGTTTTTTCGGAGAAATTATGATTGTTTGGAAGCTAAAATGTTGTTGTCGTTTGTAAAATGTCGAGCTTTTCAATGGGGATTGTGTTATTTGTTTCATTCGTTCTGCTTTTTTAGACTAAATTTATGTTTTCTTTTGTTCATTTGTGCAGATTGGGTTTGCTTTCTTTAATTTATTTATTATGATTTTGTACAAAATTGTTTTCTTTAACTATTTTTGGTGGTTTGTTTTGATTTTGGAAGCTGAAATGTAAAGCTTGTTTGTGAAATGCCAAGTTTTGTACCTAATTTGCTTTGTTATTTTTGCAGAATTTGTTTATATATAGTAATGGTGTGTTGTTATTATTCTTAATATTTGTTTTTTTATTATTAATTTTGTTGCTGGTTTGGTGTAAATATGTTGTTTTCTTATTAGTGGATGCATACCCATCAGAAGCAGTAAGGGCTGAGCTTTCAGTGCAATTAGGACTGTCTGACCGGCAGTTGCAGATGTGGTTCTGCCATAGGCGTTTGAAGGACAGGAAGGCACCTTCAGTGAAGCGCCCACGTAAGGAGTCACCATCACCAGCAGGGATGCCAGGTGGAGGGGAAATGGGAGTGGTGGCTGAGGTGGGAAGTGAACACGGGTCAGGGTCAAGTCCATTTGTTCTCGGTGTGGATCCACGGCAAGCAGTTGGAAGGCCCACTGGGGTGGCTGTTCCAAGAACTAGTGCTGATGTGCAAGCAATGAAGAGGTATTATGAGCCACAGCAGTCTATTGTGGAGCTTAGAGCGATAGCATTTGTGGAAGCACAGTTGGGGGAGCCTCTGAGAGAGGATGGTCCGATTCTTGGGATGGAGTTTGACCCTCTGCCACCGGATGCATTTGGTGCACCTATAGGTACTATTGGTTTTGAGTTTTGTTGTCTGCATTCTGCACCTTTTTATTCTATGATCACATGTTGAAATTAGAAGCCATACAAGAAATTTATCAAATCACCTGACTGTGCTTTAATCAACAACATTGTAGATTGTTTTCCTTGGATTAGTATTTTTGGTTTGCACATTATATGTGATTATTGAATTTGAGCCTATTAGATAACTCTAATCAAATTATGATTATTTGTGAGATATATTGGCCCTGAAGAAATTATCAGTATAATAGAACATATTAGAAATGGTTGTGATTTTTGGAGTATGAATGCATGAAATCTTAATTTGCTAGAAGTGTTCATTAGAGATGATGGTGGAAGTGGTTGTATAAAAAATATTGGGTTTTTTTTTTTTAATTAAAAGGCCAACAGACAATTCCACAAGCCCCTGATTTTAATTTTTTTTTTTGGTTTCTTTCACTGGTTCGGTATGTTGGGTTTATTTATTTTTTAATGCACTTCATGCCTGGAATGTGTCTATTAGTGGCAGAAGTGATGTTGCCGAAACTTAGACAGATCTTTTCTATAAAATTTTGAATAAACAAGGGTATGCTGAGATCGGCATGCTTTGGTAAATTTAACTTTGAAACCTTTGTTTAGGCTATAGTCTTCCATCTTCCACAGATTTGGCTAGTCCCTGGTCAATGATTTTCTCACAAGATAGTAGAGGAATTCCAGAGTTGGTACCTTTTTATGGTGTCATTGATTGGAGAATGAAAGGTTCTTGTGAAACTTTTTAGTGCCTAGTTGTGAGTTGAAGGCATTTGATATGAAAAAAAAAAAGAAGAAAAAAACATGTCTTTTGCAATCTGAAAATGAAAATAATAATAATAAAAAAGACAGAAAAGAATGCATATGTACTGCACAAGCTCAAAATCAAAGTGTTATAGCCCATGGGCACAGAGAATAGCTTGATGATCCAAACTTCCCTCAGTTGTTCCCCTACATCTTTCTTTTACCTGTTCCAATATGTGGTCACCTTGGGAAGGGCAATGGAGAAAATATTTATTGGGTTCTTATTGAGAGAATGTAGGTGGTTAAGGTGACATTTTTCATTGCTTTAGCTAGGACTTGTAGAGTTGTTTCCATGAAATGAGGGAAGACTTCTCAAAGAACAATGTTTTGCTACCTGCAGCAGATTTTTGTTCTGAGTTGATGTCATGCATACTTCTAGTCACAAGCTTGTTTAATTTCCTGGACTTATGAGTAAGAGATGTAATTTCTATGATTTAGGGATCAACTATCTAGAGTGAACACTTTCAGAAATGTAGGTCATGCCAGCTTTTTGGGATATATAGTATGTGAAATGTTAGTTAAGTGATAAGTTCACCTCTTTTGTGCATCCAGCTTTGACCTTTCTTCTTTTTTTTTTACAATGAACATTAATCATGCTAGCTCAAACGTGAAGTTACCTGCTGTGGTTTTTTGCTGCTTTATGTGCGCCCCTATTTGATGGTATTTCTGAGAATACTAGGTTTGAGCATCTGATGAGCTTTTTATATGGTTCTAGGATCAGCAACAACAGGGCAGCAGAAACAGTCTGCAAGGATTTTTGAGGCCAACCTATATGAGCTTCCTGATGTAAAAACCATCAAGGTGAAGATGCCCATCCTTTTACTTGCTGAAAATTAAAACTAGTTTTTTCCCATTATTGTTTTTTATTCCCTGGCTTTTGCAATACTTTTCATGACTTGGTTTGTTTTATTTTGATGTTTATCTGTTGGTAATCTCATTTACTTTAGGTGAATTGTGGAATTTATATATTGTCCCCTTTAGGCCCCTGAATTTTGATGGGCAATAAATATGTTCTTCTGTTTCATTTTTCAGAGTACTACAAGGACTCTGCATGAATACCAATTCCTTCCACAGCAGCCAACTGTTAGAGCGGAGGCATATGAAAGAGCTGCCCCTTCATGCCAGTATGGCTCACCTGCTGATGTTCATGATGTGAAGACTGAATCAATATCTGCCACCCTACCATTCATGCATGCAAACGAACAAGTGTCCTCTGGATATGGTTTATCAAATCAAGTTCCCAGTCTAAGTCTTATGCCTCAAGAAAGCAGGCAGGGCCATCTCTTGCCATCTACTACAGGAGAGTACGAAACTGTAATACAAAAATGCTCCTTTACAAATATTGGTATGGATGCACAATCTGATGCTCACCTGGTTACTGCATTGGACAATCCTTATATGTCATCTGACAGGAGAGTAACCCATGATGAGGATGCTTTGCGAATGCAGAGGAAACGCAAGGTATTAAGCGAAGCATTTCATAAGTTTTGAACTGTAGACTGGTAAACAATGCACTTTATTGACTTTTTTCAGAGTGAGGAGGCAAGAATAGCACGCGAAGTTGAAGCCCATGAAAAAAGGATTCGAAAAGAGCTTGAAAAGCAAGATATTCTAAGGCGAAAGGTCCGGGTCTCATACAAGAGTTTCCTTTTTAAAATCTGTAATTTCATACTGATAGTGTTATGTAACTTGTATTGTACATTCAGAGAGAGGAGCAAATGAGGAAAGAAATGGAAAAGCATGACCGTGAGAGGCGGAAGGAAGAAGAGAGGTTATTGCGTGAAAAGCAGCGAGAGGCGGAGAGATACCAGAGGGAGCAAAAGCGTGAACTGGAGCGCAGGGAAAAGTTCTTGCAGAAGGAGTCTATCAGAGTAGGTTCAAAAACCCTATTTAAGACTGTCCTGTTATGTTTGCCTGTGAGGAAAAATTGTCACTTTTGTTCATTTATGCACCCAGGTTGAGAAAATGAGACAAAAAGAAGAATTGCGTAGAGAAAGGGAGGCAGCAAGGCAAAAAGCTGCTACCGAGAGGGCAATTGCACGGAGGATGGCAAAAGAGTCAATGGAGCTCATTGATGATGAACGCTTGGAACTCATGGAGATGGCTGCCTCCAGCAAGGGATTGCCTTCGATTATTCCTCTGGACTTTGAAACTTTGCAAAATCTAGATTTATTTCGAGGTTGGTAATGTTGGATTTAATCAAACATACATTGGCTATTCTCATTCAAAATATTGATTCAGAGCCTTGGATATATATATATATATATATATCAAAAGGCACATGCATTTGTTTTGATTTATTGTCGGTCAATTTTCATTCCACTTGCAGCTGAACTTTTTATATTGCTTTTCAGATAAGCTGACTGAGTTCCCTCCCAAATCTGTGTTATTAAAGAGGCCTTTTCTTATTCAACCTTGGAATGATTCTGAGGAGAATGTAGGAAATCTTCTTATGGTGAGTTTCTGTAGTTTTTCCTAGTTTTTGTTCCACTCTGCTTATCTTGGAAAGATGGGAATAGTTGAGACTGGAATGCAACGAAAGACTTTCTTCAGTACAAGATCACAAATCTTCTTTATACACTTTTGTGTGTTCATGATGCATAATCTCATCTCATATTTTCCATTATGGAATGTGCTGGCTGCTTTATAGGGAACAGAAGGAAATCAGAAACTTCAGCTTTTCCTTGAGGCATATTTTAATCTCGTGTTATGCTTTTGTTTCAGATATTGATCCTCTTCCTGTCATTTATATTTTGGTTCAAGTAGGCACAGGAATCATTTTCTTTCCATGAGTTTTTTTGCTGCTTCTTTGAGGATAAGCATGATTTTCTCTTTCATTGTTTCCCTATGTCATTGTATTTTGGTTCAAGGAGGCACAATAATTATTTTTTTGCCACATTTTATTTCTCCTGCATATCTGTCAATCATTTATGATTAATGGGGTACGATGGGTTTTCAATTAATTGTTTTGAAAATGCCATTTGATTTATTAATGCCTTAGTAAATAAATTTGTGATGGGTGGTGTTAATGAATTAAAAAAAAGGAGATAGAATGAGTTTTCATTATATGTTAATATCTTTTTTTTTTAAATCTTATTATCAATACATTGTTTATTTCATCTCCCTCAATACAGAGCCCATCTTTTGAACTGAAAATCTCACCTCTTCTATATATAGTTGAACCTTGATTTCATTGTTTCTTGTGGGTGTTACTGCTATGCTTTCCTTTTTTAACCTAGAATATCCGTGCCACTTTTTTCAATAAATTCTACTATAGAGTACATGTTCATTTATTTTGGACAGGAGTTTATTTCTTGGCAGGAAATGCATCATTCCACAAGATTTAGAATTCCTAGCATTCCACAAGATTTAGAATTCCTAATGCATAGGCATATCTTTTTTTTAAGCTTTTGAAGTAAACTGTAAATTTATAGGTTTGGAGGTTCCTAATCACATTTGCGGATGTTCTTGGGATATGGCCATTCACTTTGGATGAGTTTGTCCAAGCTTTTCATGATTATGTAAGTATCCGTGGCATATGATGTAGGGTTATCTTACTTTTTGTGGAATTCAGATGTGTTTCCTGCTCCTTGTACTTTCAGGATCCAAGGCTATTGAGTGAAGTACATGTTGCCCTATTAAAATCCATCATTAAAGACATTGAAGATGTTGCTAGGACACCTGCAACTGGGCTGGGGCCAAATCAAAACGGTGCAGCTAATCCTGGTGGTGGTCATCCTCAGATTGTCGAAGGGGTAGGTCTTCTTTGTTGCCTGTTGCAGTGGCAATGTGATCTCACTTATGTTCCTTGTTTCCATCCTAAACTATTTTGGGCTTCTATGTCAGGCGTATGCATGGGGTTTTGATTTACGTAGCTGGCAGCGACACTTAAATCCATTAACTTGGCCTGAAATATTGCGGCAACTCGGTCTTTCTGCAGGTTTTGGGCCACAGCTGAAGAAAAGGAATGTTGATCAGGCATATCTCCGAGATGATAATGAGGTGGTTGCCTTTTTCTTTGGGTCATCTTTTATTTTTTTGGCAGTAACTGTTCTCCTATAGTTGCTCATGTTCCAGGTTTTGTTATTCGTTGCTGATGGGTTATGCAAGCTATGAAAGCTTGGACTGTTTTCCAAGTTTGATTGTTGCTTTACTCTAAAGACGATTACTTATCATAGTTTTGTACAACATATATCAGATTTTTTGTTGTCTAGAATGCTGTAGTCCATGTAGGGTGACTTATTTACCAAGCAGCTTATACTAAGGATTACTTGTGCTTCAGTATTTGTTATATTGTGAAACTGATGTATCCTATTGTTTGTTCCATTGGTCCTTAAGGTTTCTATTTTTCAATATGGGGGCATACATACTGGTACTCGATCTTATTTTCATTTCTGTTTTGTTTTAAAATTCTCTCCAGTTAGTGGTTGGTTAGCTCTACTTCTGTTGTTTGACTTGTTGGTCAAATATATTTGCTTGACCACAGGGGATCTGGCATCTGATAGTTTGATATGTGCTGTGACTTTTGATTGACATGAGAATTGTCTGATAAATGTAAAAATAATGTAGCTTGTGCTATTGATTTTTTATGCTGCACGTGCATGGTGGCATGGTTGCCTGTCCAATGAGTTCCAGTTTTTAGGCCAAGCTTGAGGAATTTCAATTTATCTAATTAGGAAGCTTGGAGGAACACAATCTCATAATGATTCGGATTGTTAAGAAGTTCTATATTCTGCTTTCCTGAAGTCACATGTTGTCAAAATAAAAAAGAAAAAAACATGTCTAATAATTGTGCAGAAAATTTCTTACAATAATACTTAGAGATATTGCATGCATTTCAGGGCTTACACTTCTCATTCCTATTGCTATTTTTTTTTTTCACTTTGGTTTTCCTCATAGTTTTTTTTTTCCTTTGTCATTAAAATTCAGGGTAATGATGGTGAAGATGTAATTACTAATTTACGGAATGGAGCAGCCGTTGAAAATGCTGTTTCCATTATGCAAGAAAGGGGATTTTCTGATCCACGCAGATCTAGGCATCGCTTAACTCCTGGTACTGTTAAATTTGCAGCATTTCATGTTCTCTCTCTTGAGGGGAGCAAGGGTTTGACCATATTAGAAGTAGCAGACAAGATTCAGGTACTTTTATAGTGGCAACTCTTTGTATTCTTCCCTACATTGCATAAAGTTGCCTTGTCTATTCACTTTCCTCTTTTTTTTTTTTTAATGTTTGGTAAGAAATCTGGGTTGAGGGATCTTACAACAAGCAAGACACCTGAAGCGTCAATTGCTGCTGCTTTGTCAAGGGATTCTAAACTTTTTGAGAGGACGGCTCCTTCAACATATTGTATACGTCCTGCATACAGGAAGGACCCAGCTGATACTGAGACAATACTTTCTGCTGCCAGAGAAAGAATTAGGACATTTAAAAGTGGTATTGTAGACGGAGAAGATGCTGATGATGCTGAAAGAGATGAAGATTCTGAAAGTGATGTGGCAGAGGATCATGAGATTGATGATTTAGGTACTGGATTGAATTCTAAGAAAGTGGCTCATGATTCTCCTGAAACTAATGAATTTAATGGGAAAACAGTATTGGGGAATGGAAATGAGAGTGGTGGTCTCAAAACTCCACAAGTCCGCCTTGAGAAAGTCAGAGCAGGTTTGACTTCCTTACATTCTGAAGGCACTAACGAGTTAAAGGGTGCTGGTTCTTCAATAGATGAATCTGTAGATGTTGCTGAAATCCACACCATTCCTGATCAAGATGTAGATATTGATGAAAACAACCTGGGTGAGCCATGGGTTCAAGGACTTGTAGAAGGGGAATACTCTGATCTGAGTGTTGAGGAGCGTCTTAATGCGCTTGTTGCATTGATTGGTGTGGCAACTGAAGGAAACTCCATCCGTGTTGCTCTTGAGGTATAATTTCCTTTTGTTTCTAATGAAATCTTAAAAAAATGCTATGTGCTTGTCTCTTATCGCAGATGAGACTTGTTCAGGAACGCTTAGAAGCAGCAAATGCTCTAAAGAAGCAAATGTGGGCAGAAGCACAACTTGATAAACGTCGTATGAAGGAAGAGTTTGTCATGAGGACACAATATTCATCATTTACAGGGAACAAGATGGAACCTAACCAAACAATTTCTGCCACAGAGGGTAGACAAACCCCAATGGTAAGTGTCGATGACAGAAGTAACGGGATGCCTGCGAATGCATCTGTTCAGCAAGAACTGTTAAGTGACCAGCAGAGTGACATGAATTATCTAAATAATATGCCATTTGAAGGAAACATGCAAATGCAAGATTTATCTGCCGGTCCAGATAATCTGCCATATCAGCAAGCAGTACATATTGCTGAAAAATCACGTTCACAGTTAAAATCTGTTATTGGTCACAGGGCAGAAGAGATGTATGTATATAGATCATTGCCCCTTGGTCAGGATCGCAGGCATAATCGATACTGGCGTTTCACCACATCTGCTTCCCGCAATGATCCTGGCTGTGGCAGGATCTTCGTTGAGTTACATGATGGTCGCTGGAGGCTTATTGATTATGAAGAGGTATTTTACTCTTTGAGCCCATATGCTTCAGAGTCTCTATGTACAAGTCAGACCACTTGTGCACACGTATGCATGGTGTTGATTTTACCATGCATGTGGAACATATAAGTTTCCTGTTCAAGTTCATTTTAAACTTTTTTCACCATGAAACAATGGCTAGTGCTCTACAAGTTCTCTGCCTACAAATGCATTCTTCATTTTTCTTATGTTTGTTTACATCATTTTTATGATATTCATGCAGGGTTTTGATACTCTGCTGTCATCTTTGGATGTACGTGGGGTTAGGGAATCCCATTTGCATGCAATGCTGCAAAAGATTGAGGTGCCTTTCAAGGAAACTATCAGGATGAGAATGCTACGTGCTAACACAGAAGGACAAAGCAAAGATCCAATCAAAGCTGAAGCTGTTGAAATGGCTGCTGGCCCTAAATCTGGCACTGGTATGGATAGTCCACGCAGCATTGTGTGTGTTCCAGATTCAGATATGTCTGAGACCTCAACATCTTTCACAATTGAGCTTGGAAGGAATGAAATTGAAAAAAATCATGCCTTGAAGAGATTTCAAGATTTTGAGAAGTGGATGTGGAAAGAATGCTTCAAGTCTTCAGTCTTGTGTGCCATGAAGTATGAGAAGAAAAGATGCACGCAACTGCTTGGTGTTTGTGATTACTGCCATGACACTTACTTTTTTGAAGACAACCATTGTCCTTCTTGCCACAACACGCACGCCTCTCAGACTGGCTTGAATTTTTCTGAACATGTGGCTCATTGTGAAAGGAAGCTAAAGATGGACCCAGACAGTGCTTTGTGTAGCTTATCTTTTCCACCAAGGATCAGATTGTTAAAATCGCTACTAGCTTTGATAGAGGCAAGTGCTCTCAATGCTATGGTTTGCATTAGACATATCCTCCTTGCCACATATCAATATAATGGCTGGCAAGTGCCCTCAATGCTATGGTTTGAATTAGACATATCCTCCTTGCCACATATCAATATAATGGCTTGAAGTGTGGCAAGAGAATCCACAGTTTTAAATAACAGCCATTATTTACAGAACTGGAGCACCTCGTAATAGTTATAGTTATTCAGTGTTATAGTACTGTTATTGGTGATCCTTGACCGCAACCACTATTGTGATCAAAACCCGCAATTTAAAACTATGACTAAAACCTGCAATTTAAAACTATGAGTATGTCACCTCTTTATTATTGCTTTCTTAAATTTTGTCTGCTTTGGGTTGGCAGGTTTCGGTTCTGCCAGAAGCTCTCCAACCTGTTTGGACCAATGGCTACCGGAAATCTTGGGGTATGAAGCTGCAGTCCTCATCATGTGTTGACGACCTACTTCAGGTTTATGTTTGGCCTTGTTTGTGGCATGAATTTTTGTGTTCTCCTGTCTACTTGGATTATGAAGACATGAAGCAAGGATATTGGAGCTACTGCTTAGCATTTGAGATGATCCTTGCATCCTATGACGATGATTATGTTTTCATGTTGAAATAAGTGCAACTGGCCTATAGACAATAGAGGAACACCCCCCCTCCCTGTTTATACAGAAAATTTTGGTGTCAAATGATGAGTTTAACACTCATTCATGGCGGCAGATTTAATAGCAATGATAATGATAGTCCAGAAATATTCACAGCAAAAATAAATGCCTACTTACTTATAACTATATGCTCTTTAATTTTCACTTCCAGAATACCGTTGATGGATTGGTTATATTGCCATCTTGCTAAATCTTAGTGTGTGCATGATTGGGTCCATGGAATGCATCATGAATAGCGTGAAAAGGTAAATTGCATTATCTGGACAGGTGCAAGATTTGAAATTTATTTCATGCTTCCAGGGACTGTAATATTGGTATCAATTTGTTGGATAAGCCCAGTATGTAACATCAAAATGAGGGTGAAATTTGAATTTTGATTCATTATCTGTTCACATGTTGAGTGGAAGTTAATTGAAATCACTGTTTATTGCATTTAGAGTATTTCTAATCTACTTCCGTTAACATGTAATGCTACAACACTACATTCACTTGGTGATTTTGTACTTTTACCATTTGTCTTTTTTTGACAAAATGCTATACTGACCTAATTGCTTCCTTTTCCTTTTCTAGTCTCGTTAAAATTAATTTGGAGAACATATTGAGATGCAAATTTACATTTCTCTTCCTCAGATTCTGATACTGTTGGAGGTTGGCATGAAGAGGGATTATTTGTCCTCGAACTATGAAACCAGCAGTGAACTTTTGAGCTCATCTGACCAATCTGGATGTGCTGCTCATGATTCTTTCAATGCAGGAGCTGCTCCTGTTCTTCCATGGTTACCACAAACAACAGCTGCTGTAGCTCTAAGGGTCATTGAATTTGATGCATCCATCTCATACATGCTGCATCAGAAACTGGAGTCCCAGAAGGACAGGAGTGCTGGGAACTTTATTGTGAGTAGCCCGCCATTTCAGAAGTTTTGTGCTTGATGAGATGATAAAAACCATTTGCATGTTTCATTAGTTTGTCATTTGAGAAAAAGAAAGAAAGAAGAGCTTATGCCTTTTTTAGCTATAGACTGATGTTATGAAGTCATGCTTCCAACGAGTTGTCTCTTAGTCATTAAATGTGTATCTTGAAGTAGAAAGAAACCTGAGATTAGGAACACTAATACTAAAAGCAAGGGATGTAGGTTTGAAGCTTTTAGAAAGCTTTTGGTAACTGTCTTGACATAGAAGAAACCATGTATGGGATATTGTCTCTGTCCCCTCAATCAAACATGTTTCTATCCCTTCTGTATCTGTCCTTCTGTCCCGGAACACTAGCCAAATACAACCTTAAATTCTCTTGAAGCAACATAGTTAATTGGTTTCAGATGTAAAATAAGGCACAAAAATGATGGGCAGAGAACCACTATTAATTATCCCTTGTTGTAAAAAGCTTAGAGGAAAGTGGTAATTATGACATTTCACTTTAGCCTATAGAGGGTGTTTAAGTTGGAACTACTGGATTTTGGGAAGGTGTTCTTCTGCAATGAACTTTTACACCTATGCTGGCCCAGAACGTAAATCTCTCATTTGAAAATTCCAAGTTCACTAGTATTATATTCCTGACTCTTTTTCTTAACTATTTTTTAGAAGCTGCCATCCAAGTATGCTGTCATGAAGAACACCCCAGATAATGAAACCACTGAAATCCCGCATCAAGCTGGGTTACTTCAGGAAGATGATTGGGTTGATGTAGGGATTGGGTTAGCTGGGTTGGGCCGTGAACAAGGGATCCGGGGCAGGGGTCGACGTCGCCCTCGTGGTGGGAGATCACAAACAAGGATTATTGGTTCCAGATCTGAATCCAGCAAGAGAAGTGCTTCCAGAAGTAGTGACAGATTAGAGAAGGTATTGTCATGGACGGGACGACCTCGTGGCCGTGGAGGATGTAAAAGTGGACGTCGCAGCATTAGAAGTAGGCAAAAAGCAGTCAAGAAAGCGGCTGAGATCATTCCTGAGAGAAAGATCCCCAAAGAAACTCTGTATAAACAGTCGACAAGACACATGGGAAGGCATGTCCGGAATGGTGATGAAACAAGGTTCCACACGGAGGATGCTGAAAATGCCAGCAGTTCTGAAAGATCCGAGTATAATGATGAAAATGAAAATATTCCTGCATCAGGAGATGCATATGATGACCAGGTAGTGGATGACTATGCAGGTGGTTTTAATGGCAAGTCTGATGACCTGCTGGAGGGGAGTGATTATAATATTGATAGCAATGAAGAAGATGATGATGATGATGCCATGAATGAAGATGAAGATGAACTTGGGGACTTGGATGTTGAGGAGTACATCAACAGGGACTCCGATGAGGATGGAATCAGGGATGGAGGACAAAATGGGGCCCAAGATGGTACCGAATCTTCATCTTCAGATTTCAGTGACTAGGAGAAATAACCTTAAAAGTGTATAATATTGCTGATGCAGGAGAAATAGTCAATTCCTTGATTTGTATTCTTTACTGAAATCTGCTGCACACACTGTAATTGAAGTTAATGTAATTATAGAGGAAGCAGTAACTGTTCATAGCTCAGAGCACCATCACTGTACTGGAATTCAAAATATCAATGATTTGTTCTTTGGTCAGAAATTTTCCTCCAAGTTTAGACCTTTAGCTATCAAAGTTCAAGACAACCTTAACATTGCCATCATGATAAACAAAAAATCAATATAACATATCGAGATTTCAAGATTTATTGAATAGTTCCTTCAGCAAAACAATTAAAAATAGAAAATTTAAATTCAATGTACCAAACTAAAACTGTTCTTAAAACAAAACTTAATTGCAATAATCATATAAAATCCAAGAACAGACTCGTTCAATCTGCGCAATGGTAACCTCAAACTCTACACCAGGTCAGCAAAGCTGAAAAACATACATGGATGCACATTGAGACCATCCAGATCAATTCATTACAAAAATAACAAAGTTTCCAAATTCCAAAAGCAACTAAGATACAATAATAAAAAAGACAGGTTAACCAATAAAGTCTAGAATTTAAATCAACGTCTTCACCACATGAAACTTATCCTTGGTTGGTATCTTAACACTCAAGCTCTTATCCTTAACACCATGAACAATATCAGCACACATTACATATATTAACAGAAAAAAAAAAAACAAAAACACAAGGAATTAAAAACGAAAGGAAAAAAAACCCTAGTTAATAAATTGAAAAACAAAGTAAAAACAACCTTTTTTAAGATTCTTGATGTTCATTGAAGAAAAAATAATCCATATTCGATGAATTTGTTCTCGAGGTTTCTCCAAACCAAGCTTAACAGGTTTCTTAGTAGCAATATATATATATATCAGTGTTTTCAATCATCTGGGAAATACATCTCTTCTCTGTGCCGGTTAATGATCGTGTTGGTATTTTGGAAAGGCTTTTGAAGGTAAAGGATAATTGGAATGTCAACGGGGTGTTTGCTTACGTGGCAATGTAGTGGTTTTTTTTTATAAATTTGAATTTTTTTATTATTTTAAATTAACATTTTTTTTATGATTTTGAATTATTTTTAGATGTTAAAAATAATAAATTATTATTTTAATATATTTTTAAATAAAAAATACTTAAAAAACAATACCGAATCCTACTAAGAAATCGCCATAAACACAATGGGAGATGTTACATTATGCACGCACGCAAATATTAGTTATGCTCAAAAGGATTTTGTAGACAAGCGTTTCATGGAGGATCTGCAGACAGGGTGAGATGAAGAAATTCATGCAGTGGTACCACCTCCATTCCATAACGGAGGAGACTTTTAAGGCAGCGTTTTCGGGTTTTGACTGGATTGCTACATTATTCAAACAGCGTTTTCGGGTTTTGACTGGATTGCTATATTATTCAAATTAATTTTAATTTTTTTTTAAAATTAAAATAATATCATTTTAATAAAATTAAAAAATAAAAATTAATGGGTTAAACTTGATTTTTGAATAAGTTGTTCAGCCAAGTCATTCCAAGTTTTGACTTTTCATATTTTTTCTTAAACTTGACTTGATTCCAACCTTAGATCTAGTCGAGTTGTTGAATTAGGTTGAATTTCAAAACTATGACTAAACTATTTATGCCTCATTTGTTTTTATAAAAAATGATTTTTTAAAAATGATTTTTTTTTAATTTTTTATTATTAGAAAAATTGATTTATGAAAAATACTTTTTAGTTAAAAGAAAATTTGACTTAATTTCTATAAAAATATTTTCCTTTCATTTTGGGTGGAAAAAACATTCTAAAAGTTGTGAAAAATTTAAAAATATCATCTTATTTGTTAATTATATCAAGTTTGATCTTAAAATTTTTAATTATTATATATTTTATCTTGAATCTTTTTTTTTTCCTTCAATATCATCCTTTAAAATTTAATTTTCAATATCATCCTTTAAAATTTAATTTAATTTTTATGTTAACTTTGATTGTTATTTTTATAAATATTATTTTTTTTCTTTTATTATTTTTTTAATTGAGATTCTTTATCTAACATATTAATCTTTATTAGTTTGAATGTTATTTATTTTATTTGAAATAATTTATAAAATTATAATTTTTTTTTAATTTCTATATTTTTCAACTTTTTCGTCTATTAGATTTGATCTCTATTATTTTAAATACTATTTATTTATTTAAAATAATTTATATATTTTTTTAAAATTTCATTTTCATTTAACTTTTTAATTTATAAAATTTATTTATCTTTATTTTAATAAGTTTTTTTTTAAAAAAATATTAACAATTTATTTTTAAAATCATTTTTTATTATATAAATAAATATTAAAAAATATTTTTTAAACTTATTTTAGACTACACTATTAAACATAAAAAATAATTTACCTTCCAAAAATTTATTTTATAAGAAAACCGAAACCACTTTCCAGCTAACGGAGCTGAATTATATAATGCACCAAGTGTTTTGCAGAATTCAGTGGAAGTTCTGCCATGAAAGAAACACTTATTACGCGGAAAAAGAAAAGCATTACAGGGTAAGGGGAAGGGATTATAGAATTTACCAAAATAGAAACTATCAAAAGCTGACACCATAAATAAAAAGTTATGTATCAAGAAAAGCCAATCCAATCCAAATGCTAAATTCTGTTCCGTAATTCCTAAAATGCCTATTCACAAAAAGCGTTCCATTTCTGTGAAGGGGCATCGCATTCTAACATTGATCTCAAGGTCCCATGAAAGATTTGATTCCTGCCTTCTGCTCTGAAGTTAGCCTTGTTGGAAACTTGATGCTGAACTTGATTCTCAAATTCCCTCTCTTTGTGGGGTCTTTTGGGATTGGCATCCCTTCCTTTGGAACAACCTCCTCATAGTTTGGATGAATCACGGTGTTGATGGGAATAGTCAAATTCCTTCCATCTAAGGTTGTGAGATGGACAGTGTAACCTGTGAGGGCTTCAGATAAAGATATCTTCTGTGAGAGGATCAAGTCGTTACCATCTCGACTGAACATGGGGTGGGGTTTTTCATCAATAATGAAGACTAGATCTGCTGGTATAATATGATGCTGTTCATTCCCTTTCTCAGGGAAGGTGATCTTAGTGCCTTTCTTCCAACCTGGCTTTATGTCAATGGTTAGAATCTCCTCCACTGGCACAAGCTTGCTGCAAAAGAAGAAAGCTAAAAGTTCAGTGAAATGAACTAGCAAGTAGCAAGTAGAGCTCTGAACAAAAAACATCATTGAAAAAGCTTTAAAGGCTTTCACTAGATTGCAAAATGATCTGCCAACCAATCCCACAGATCTCTGGAAACATTAAAAGAACATTGATTACGCTAAACGCATAAGAAGAAAGTGATATCTCAGAAAAAAAAATGCTCTTGATTCTTTAATCTACCAAATAAATCCCATTAGGCAATGAAATGTTGAAAACAAAATGGGAAGTTGATGCTCAATTTGATTTAAAAAAAAAAAAACAGAAATCCCTTAGAGAAATCCAAACTAAAAGGAACCATATTTCAGATACAAACCAAGGAGAAAGGTAATTAACATAAAAGGCAATTCTTAATACTCACCCACTAACATCAAAAGTCTCCCTAGATATCTTCATTCTCCTGCTAGCTCCCTTGTAAAGCTCTTCAAGGCTACAACGCAGCTTATTCTCAATTGGAGGAGCTTTTCTAGGAGCACTTTGATGCATTGACCCTCCACCTCCTTCACCAAAAGAACCAAAGATATCATCACCAAACATCCCACCTGGGAACCTCGTCCCTCTCATGCCTCCACTGCCACCTCCCATCCCACCAAATGGACTTGAAAACCCGAAAAATTCAGCAAAAATGTCATCAGCATTTCGAGGATTGAAACTAAATGATGTGGGCCCATCTCCAGCAGAAAAAAATGAAGCTCCACCAGGACCAGGACCAGCACCACCAGCACCGGGTGGTGGTACTTGACCCTTTAAACCCTCTTCACCATATTGGTCATATACTGCTCTTTTCTGTGGATCACTAAGAACCTGCATGATAAAACATTAAGTTTCAATACAAAAATAATCAAACAATATATCTTTACTGCAAATTTCGATTTTGACCAGTCTAGAACTGCATTACGGAGAATTCCTTGTGCCTTTATAGACTCAAACTCTGGACTTATTATTTTACAAGAAACAGTTAATTCCTCTTGGTAACTCTAATAAACACAACAGAACTTCAATCCCAGAAGTTTAAGCACGAGATCACAGTAAAGATGCAAACTGTTTTATCTAAAGATGAACAAAAACAATCAAATTCCGCAATTTTCAGTAAAATTATGCACCCTCAGCATTGCTTCTAATTGGGTAGTCTACAGATCCAAAACACACAACCCACAAGGTTTTATGATGATTAATGCCATTAAAGATTGAAACTTTGAAGTTATGACTTACAATACACATATAATCCTGAAACAACAGGCTAAGGTGAGAACCCGATACAGGGAAAAAAATCACAAAAACCCAACAAAAGACATTTTTTTTTCATTTTTCTAAACATTAACCAAAATAATCAAAATCCACAAATTTCAGTACGATTATCAAATTTAACAAAAACCCAGATCACAGAATATATAATGTCATACAAGCACACATCTAAACAAGAAATAAAGCAATCGAAGACCACAAATTTCAGCAAGGTTATAAAATTTTAAAACAAACCCAGATCACAAAATCTAATCATAAAGCAATTGGCATCAAGGGTAGGTACATACATCATAGGCTTCAGAGATTTGCTTGAACTGAGCCTCAGCTTCTTTTTTGTTTTTTGGGTTCTTATCAGGATGCCATTTCATGGCTAATTTCCTATAAGCTTTCTTCAAATCATCATCTTTTGCGGTCTTATCAACTTGCAATATCTTGTAGTAATCCACTCCCATTGCGTTGCTGCTGCCTCCTCCTCCTCCTCCTCTCTTTCTCTTCTTCACTTTGCTTATCTTGGTTTTTCTACTTCACAAAAATCCTGGGGTGCTTTGCTCGCTCGCTTTTGTTCTGTTAATTTACGGTATTGTGATGATGGCGGAGATAGAGTAGTAATATTTGGGGGTTTGTGGTGTTTAGGATATGGGTTAATGCTAAATTTGCACCTCTATTCTTTATTGTACCTCGCCTTGTGTTGCTGTTAAATCCATCCTTATACTTTTAATCTTTCTCTAGTTTGTTCCTTTTGCTTATGTTTGGGTCAATACCCTTGAATCGACTTGATTATCTTTTGTTGTATGTAGGGCTAAGTTACTAAATTCAGCTTTGTTTAGGGCTAAGTAATGGATTGAGCATGTTAACTTGATGAATTTAAAACAAAGTTTTTTGTTAAATCAAACCAATTTATTTTTTAAGTTGTTCAAGTCATTTTAAATTAATTATTTTTTAAAATTAAACCTGAGGTTCGATCATCTTGATCGATCCATTAGATCAAACAGAGTTTAATAATTGTAATTCAAGAGCAGAAAGATTTTTTTAATTATTTTTTCTTTGATATGGTCTAAATTTCAATAGATAATGCCATCAGCTGGCAAAAAACATTTTACAAAGGGACCAAACTATAATGTATTCATAGTATTAAGAATGGAAAAAAGAAGAAGTAAAAGGACGACATAAAGGAAATTTCAAGATTAAAAGGTGAGATATATTATTAAACCGGAGTTTTACTTTTGGGAAATTGTAAGCAACTGAGGAACACCAAAGTTACGTTGTGAACCTCAAAATCTCTATGTTTGCAATAACACGTACACCAAAAAATCTCTACTTTGATTCAGCCATCATTGTGATCGTCGAAAAGCTCTTCAATCTTCTTTGTTAATCTTTTAACAAAAAAAGTCCTTTTAATCCACCAACTACTTTTTGATCAACTCAGATGTTCAATATCATAAAAAAATAATATAAATTATATATATTTGATTGTCATCCATCGGCGCAAGATTTTATCATAATATGAGAAATTAAATGAAGTAAATGCTCTTTCAAATTGTACCTCTTACTGTCAAGAAAGGAAAGATTCAACAACAATCAAGGGAAACCAGTTTTCATTAAGAACATTATTAAGAAGATGGTCAAACCCTGCATTAAAACATCTCAGAAAGATGCCATACTTCACACAGACACACACAAACACAAACACAAAGTGCAGCAAGAGGATACCATTCCAAAGGCTTCCTTCCCATAGGAGATGTCTCACGTGCTGACATAGAGATCTCAAGGACCAAAGAGTCTCCTGATTCCTGCCTTCTGCTCTGCATTAACCCTTGTTGGGAACCTGATGTCAAACTTGATTTTCAAAATCCCTCTCTTTGTTGGGTCGCCGAGGATCGGCATCCCTTCATTCGGGACGAACTTCTGATAGTTGGGATGGATCACATCATTGATCGGAAGGGTTAAATTCCTGCCATCTAAGGTAATAATACGGACAGTGTAGCCTGTAAAGGCTTCGGTTACAGAAATCCTTCGAGTGACGATCAAGTCATTTCCATCACGAGTAAACTCAGAGTGGGGTTTTTCATCAACAATGAAGACAACATCAGCAGGTGTTACATTTGGTCTTTTGTTCCCTTTCTCTTCGAAAGTGATCTTCGTGCCTTTCTTCCAACCAGGCTTTGTGTCAATGGTTAGAATCTCCTCCATTTTCCTGGTCAAGCTGCGCTCCATCCCACAAAAAATAAAGAGCACAAGAAACACCATTAACAAAGCTCCAGACCTTTCAGAAGACGGTAAAATGATGAAAAATAACTATCTCACACAAATCTTTGACAACAGGAAAGCATATCAAGTCCAGGACCAGTGATCAGAGTCAACATTCTTGATCAAAACTACAGAATGGCAGTTGACCATAAAACAAGACTAGTTGACCATAAAGCAGGACTAGTTGCTGTTTAGGACACTTACCCACTTCGATCAGCTACTTCTCTAGTTATTTTTACCCTCTTGGTAGCCCCTTGATAAAGCTCTTCAAGACTACAAGGCAGGGTGTGCTTAACTGCAGGATCTTTTCCAGGAGCACTAACCACGAAGCTTTGTTCAAAGGATCTAAAGATATCATTATCATCGCCATTTATGTTACTGGACATCCCCGTTCCTCTCCTGTTTTGATTTGGGCTATTAGACCCGAAAAATTGAGCATAGATATCACCAGCTGTTGCCCTACTCTGACTAGTCATCTCGTTGATAGAAGGTGGATGAAAGAAAGGCAAAGAGAACCGTTCTAGCTCAGTGTAACGCAACTTCTCTTAAAGGAAAAGGAAAAGTAATTGTCCTGCGTACCTCTCATGCTTTAAAGTGGTGGAGAAATTGAAGGACGTACGGTGATTGCCTGATTGGCTAGGCAGAACATGCTTAAAGCTTAAGTTGCTGGACTGGGTGGAAGTCTTTGAAAACGATTTGCTTAGGAGACACAAACTACAACACTTACCTTCTTTTCTTCAATTAATTTATTTAATTAAAAAATTAAGTTGGTAAATTTCAGACTCGTCTTTGTTCTTATTAGTGAAACTCTGATATAATTAATGATTTTTGCAGTAATCTTTAATGATTTAGAATATTCTCTCGTACATATTACCCAATAATAATAACAGAGTTGATGGCTTGGATATAATAAATTGTTCATTTGCTTGTCTCTCATTGATAATTGTTGGCCCTGTGATGTGGACGAAAACGTTGAAAAAGATAGGTCCGTGTGAATGCCTCGTTTGCCTGTCACTTAGAGTCAATAACAAATAAGATAACGGAGACCGAGCAGAGTCGTTGAATTGACCCATGACATAGACCGAGTATGGTATAAATACATAATTGTGTCTTGATTTATCAAATTTAATTTGATTTGTCTTTTGAATTCATTTTTTTGAATTTTTGATTTTCTTTTATATTAATCATATTGTATAGCTTATTGATCATGTTAAAAAAACTTTAATAACACTGTATATAAACATCTGTAATAATAACAATAACGCATGAAAATGTTCCGTGATAATAATAATAAATAAATAAAGAAGAGGAAGGTTAATTTTAGGAGTTAATTGGAATAAAAAATTGAAATGGGGTTAAATTATAATATTTGGATTCTTAAGGATTAAGGAAAGAGCTAAGGGAGAAATGAAAGATTCAATGAGGGAGGCCGACGGCAGCTCTTGGAAGGG